GCGCCACATCTCGTCCACGAGCCGGGGGCGGCAGCGCTATCGACGGCTCCAACGGCCGGCCACTGCTGCTAAGTTGCTCCTGATGAGGATTCGCCCAAATGCAGGAGATGCCATCGTTCATGCTCTGCTCCTGCAAAGGATTTCAAGTGATTTTCAATGCCGAGTCCATCAAGTTTCTCAAGAAAAAGTCTATCACCACGTAAGTCACAAGTAATCGCAAGTAAAAACACCTTGAATTACGAGAGTTCTTGCTTTAAAAAAGGCATCTATGTTTCAATGTGCTTCAAAACGCATGCCTGGTGAACACCAATCTGCAAACGCGAACCCCGTCAGCGACAAACACTTCTGCCAAGGCGCATCCCCGAAGGAGAGAAACATGCTCATGTGCTCCCCCTCGTTGCGGCTGTCACTCCAGCGCCTCCTGCACGTCTGGATGGTCACCAGGTTGTAGCAGCCCATGCTTTCCAGCGCCGCCCGGATGGTCCACTTCCCCAGCGAGTTCCGCACGTTCCGGACGTAGACCCTGAAGCGGTCATCGGAAGCCATGGCGACACGTGACCTGCTCGGCAGCTTAGGTTGTGCTGCACTAATGGGTGGGTCAGTTGGCGGATTGTGGATTGCTTGTCATGTGGTGGAACTGGTTTGTTGAGGTTGTGGTGTACTTGAGGTTGATGCAGCTGCCACGTGTTTACCTGAGGTAAGAGTTCTTCTGGTTGGTTTGCTTGCTCTTCCTTTACTTGCGGATCCTCACAGTCTGGGATTAGATTTCAGGCAATTGGTTAGATTCCGTGTATATGCTTCTTCTTGGCCGCACATTTGGAGTTCGTGAGTTTGGTTTACTTGAGATTGGGTTGCCTGTGATTGGTTGAAATGGAGTTGGATGCATGGACAATGGTTTACTGGTGCCTGGGATTGATAGGTTTACCGGGTATTGGGTTTCTTGACGCTATAGTTTACCTGTGTCTGTGGCTTAGCTGCACGCCCTCTCTAGATGCATGTTGTGCAAACAAGGCCGGCGCGGATGTGGAAATCTTCGCACAATCCACACAAGTAAAGCGCACAATCCACACAAGTAAACGTCCATTTACAAGTAACGTTCGCTTTCTGTGGGGCCCTATAGGTTGGCAAGCGAGGCGGCTGCTTCACAAGTAAAAGAGAGGCGGCTGATTCACAAGTAAAAGCGAGGCGGCTGCTTCACAAGTAAAAAACGGGCGGCTGCTTCACAAGTAAAAGCGAGGCGGTTGCTTCACAAGTAAAAGCGAGGCGGTTGCTTCACAAGTATAAAAAATGGGCGGCTGCTTCACAAGTGAAAGCTCCACATCCATCGCAAACGTCAGAAGTATCCACTTCACAAAAGTCCCCGCGTTGCACAATATCTTTCTTGCAAAAGTGGGCTTCACAAGTAAGCTGAGACACTGGGCCCATAACCGTTGCCCACGCAGACCGGCAAAACAAACAGCGCTTCTTGTCACACAAGTAAGCAAACATGACCCCCGCGCCTTTGTTTCTTTTTTTTCTCTCATTGCGCAGTCTCATTGCCCGTCGCAGCGAAAAAACGCAAAGACCTGCTTAATTCTCTTCCATTTTCACATCAAACACCAAAACTGCCACGACAGAATTGCTTCTGAACTCCATCGCGATCACGTGAAAATCATAAATCGATTCAACTCGCAGCGCAAACAGAATATCCCGCAAAAGAGCTGACACTGGCCCAGGATCAACGTCCTCCCAGTGCTCCATGGGCGGCGGCTCCTGGCCTTCTAGGCTATCGGTGTCTATCCCAACCGCCCAGGCCGCAAATATCCAGCGGTTCATGATACCACAAGCTTGCATTAGCCAAGAAAGCTGCAATCACGGTATGTAAGCGCACGGCGCACAGCCTTCGAAGCCAACCGCGGTTCTTTGTGGAGCTGGGAGCAACCATGTTCTCAAGTAAATCAACCGCGACATGCGCACGTAAATCAAACGATTCATGGGGAGCTCGAGCGAGGCAAGACCCTGTCTCAAGTAATACACATTGTTCAGAAACATGTTCCCACTATTCAGTGCTAAGAAAAATGTTTGGACTCAGGAAAGATAGCTCACGAAACATACCAGAAAAATACGTTTTTTTTGACTAGTAAATCAATTTTCTTTTGCAAGTAAATGTATTTACTAGTAAATTTACTTTACTTGGCCTAGTAAAATGAGATTAGTAAATAGTAAAATTTAGCGTAAATCGCTGCCATACTAAATTTACTACTTCTGCAGACTCAGGGAAGAGGTCACTGCCGCTCCAAAGTTCAAGAATGTGAGGTTCAAGAGCACGAACCACAGGGACGAATTGGTTCCTGAAGCTAAGAGGGCTATACTTCATGTACCGGATTTGGACCGCCTGCAATATACTCGGTATCAAAGCAGAGCAGTTCAGAGGTGTCAGTCATCTGAAGGACATCGGATTCGTCAGCGCCCTCGGCCTCAACTGCGATTACATGACCTGCTACCGAACAGATGTGAACATTGGGCGCAAGTTCTTGAAACTTGAGCTTGGTGCAATCATTTGCATTCAAGGAGGGGTCGACACTCCTCTCATCCAATTGCCCTCGCGATTTATCGAGAAGATCAATCGGACCGCGGAGACACCAGAATCTCTGTTAGAAAGGTTCCGGTGGAGAGCAAGTAGAAAGGCCATCGCAGGGTCATCACACTGGTGATCAAGCATTTTCTTTACGATTTCTTCTACGTGGGGGATCAACTGGAATTTGCAATTATAGACAATGGGATCGTGATACTCATCGTGAATGGTATCATGGCCAGCCCTCGTGGTACTCGTCGTGCACGGTACACCGGGCAAACCAAAAGTATTTGCGCGAGACTTGCGTTTGTCATCACAAAATGTTTTCTTGTTTCCGTACAGTATAGTCATCGGCGACTACTATTCTGGAGATGCCAGGCAATTGGTGGCCAACGATTATTCGGTGCTACAATTATTATTGGTTACAAGTTGGTGATGGACTATGCTCGTCATGGATATTCGTCATCTGCAGACTGACATGGATCTGTATAATTACCTTATGGATAGTTTGCTGCATGTGCAACACTGCACATGAGGTCCGGTAAGAGACCTGTAGCATTCTTGCTTCCTGTTTAGTTTCAGAACCTGGTCGAACTCGTGCAGAGACGTTTCACTGAATTGAAATCGAGTGAAGCCATGCGTCCATGCGTGTCGGCATGCGTTTGAGATTGGTTCCTGGCCCAGGGATGAACCCAAGCCCGGGATGGGGGATGCTGAGAATCTCCAAGCCGCAGGCTAAAACATCCTAAGGGCAGGTTCTCAGGGTCACCCTGTTACTTCCCCTTGTTTAAGGTCTCAAACCTTTTGGGGGATTGTGTTTTGTGTGCAGCCGACATGTACATGCGAATGCGTTTGGCTCAAGTGAGTCAACTGGCTCAAGACCTTGATAATAGGATCGAGGCAAACATCCAAACACTGCTGTGAAACGAAGCAAAAGGGTTCGTATTCCGCGGTCGCATCGAGTCGTGAGACGACGCAGATCATTTGCCCTACATGTACCCCCTTGTTACCACGACCACTACTAGACGACTTGCTGTCGAGGGTATTGGTCACCCCACGGGAGTCGAACCTCAACTGCCCTGTCATTTGACTACGTGGTTGATCCGCCTCCTGGCAATAATGTTGAAAAAGTAAAACTCACAAGGGACATTTATAAGAAGGAACACAAAGAAGATAGCAGAAAAATCAAAAACATATCACCAAAACAACAAGGATATGATATTAGAAAAGCAACCAGAACACACTAAACAAAACCCTGAAAAATAAATGTAAGAAGTATTATTATGAAAGCGCAAAATTGAAGAGTTATGTCATTGAATGTTTGGTATGCAACTGCTCAATTTTTGCTGGAACAAAAGCAAGGCACAAAAGAACCAAACGACACCAAGACAATCCAAATCAACAGAAAGAAGAATTACCTTCTAATTATTCTAATAATGAATCCGAATTTAATAGAATTATTTAGCGGAGCGAAGAGTGTAGGATGGGGTGAGGATTATGTAAAACATAAACAGGAAGATTTATATAAAGTATCGAGTGATTTAATTGTTGATTTTTGCGAGTTTGGCGGATTAAAGAAAACGAGTCTGGTGTGGATGGTCTCCCAACTTTCAAGCAATTGGGGAAATGTTGCCCAATTTTCTGGGATTTGGGGATTTGAGTCGCAAGGTTAGGGGATTTGAATCCCAAGGTTGGGGATTTGAATCCCAAGGTTAGGGGGTTTGAGTCCCAAGGTTAGGGGGTTTGAATCTCAAGGTTGCGGGGAATGAGTTCTGGGTTGATGGGATTTCAAGAAATGTGCCCCCAGAAAAACCCCGAAAAGGAATAACCCCATAAACCTTACAATAAAAATGTAAGATTTATATCGTGAATTTCAGGGTATTTTAGTGTCAAGGAATATTGATTATAGGAAAACTATTCAAAGGGTTGTAGGTACAATATATTGAGGATTATGGGAGAACATAAAACTGAGTTTTGTGAGAAATGTAGAAGGACAAACTTTACATGAATTTGAAAGAAGGTAGATTATGTTGTAGAAAATGTCAAAATCATTCAGCAAAGCATAAAGACAGATATATTGAAGCACAAAGAGTAAGATTTAGAGAAGATGAGGAATTTAGAAAAAGAAACTGGCAGGAAATAATGAACGGTCTTTAAAGTTGTTACTTGTGATGTTTGTAATTGTACAATGACACAACGCATTTTGTATACACAGTAAAACAAAGAAGCATCAAAGAAATTTAGAAATGAAACAGGTTGAAGAAACTTGATATTGTTACATAGAAGTCTTACTAGAGAAGTTGTATAAGGTTAATATGCAATATAACTTATTAACCTTGTATAATATTTATACCACTTCTTTCAAATAATGTTTTACTATTTCCCCCCCCCCTCAAGGGCCGCTTTTGCCCTTCAAGCATTCCCAGCGTGGCATCAACCATTGGAGGCTGTGGAGCGGGCCTTTGCTGCCAGCGGCTTCCGAGACAAAGTCAAGGCGCGGGTGGAAGTTGCAATCTAGGATGAACCTGGACCGTGCTAATTACTCAGGTAGTGGCTCTCCCTTTTTTTGGTGGGGGAATAAAACATCCTTTGGGGGGATTCCTTGGGTTAGAGTCTGTTGCTAAGTGAGCCGAAAAAAACCCGTTGTAGGTGTAAGGCATGATCCCTGCTTTGGACCTATCAAATCAGCTGCACCGCAAGGTACACTGCCCCACGAAGCCCCAGGCAAAAAACGGGTCTCGACACCGCGCGTGGCAAGGCCTTCGCTTTCCTCCGCTTGCGCTCCATGCGCCCAGGCGATCGGTGGGGCGTAGGCAGATGCGTATGGTGTCAGTTGGCCATGGGTCAAGACCCCGGTTACCCCCAGTCAACATCCCAATCCCCACTAAAATAGACTAAAATGGGTGGTGCACCTACCTTTGGTTTCATCTTTGGCTTTTGTAGAGTCGCAGGCACGCAGGACTCGCCGTCGGCAGGGTAGCCCAGCAGTGCTCCAAGCCAGGCGCGTGCAGACGGGAGTTTTGGTGATCTTGCCCGGAGATCAGGGCTCAGGTAACATGGAACTCAAATTTTCATGTGGCAAGTGGCATGAGGGCAGCTCTCCCTAACTCGGAATTTCCGGTTACGTCGATCTCACCGAACGGCACGGCGAGAGCCACCTGGACGGCACCCGCGGCACGCGCGCGCCCATGGAAGCCTTGGGCGAGGAGAGGCCGCGGGTGACGCACCCCGATGGCCCGGAGGCGGCCGGGTCGCTTTCGCACGGGGAAGCCCCGCCCCGGTTCCTCAGTACCAACGCTTTACTATTAGGTCCCAGTCGTTGAGGAGAGTTTGGCACCGTTTTTCTTTTTTGGTTGAGTGGTCGGGTTTTTTCACCCGGGGAAGCCACGGACAGTTGCATTTTTTTTTTTTCGCCGGGGATCTGACAACGGGCGCGGCCCAGTTTTCGGTTGGCCTCCCAGAGCGCAGGTCGAGACACGGACTGCGAAGAAGCTCGCGGCGGATCCGCAGCTCACCTGCGGCAAGATGATGGCCGCTGCCCCAGAGCCCCAGAGTGCCAGAGATTTCGCTCCATGCGCCAGCGCAAGGATCAAATGTTTTGCGCCAAAAACCAGCAGCGACGTGGATTCCTTTCTGAAACTCTGGCATTCAGTGAGCGTTTGGCATCCGGTGTGACTGTTTTTCGGCACAATGGCAGAGGTGAACTGTGTCACCGCAGGACTCATGTACATGCAACCTGGCTGCATGTCCGGAGGAGATGCATCCCTCCCTGGAGCAAAGGTCTGCGCTTTTGGAGTTTTGTTTTTCCCCCCCTGCCCCCCGGCCTTGGTCAAAGGCATCTCTGGTTCTTGCTCCCCTCCGGCCTCTCGCCACCACGGTTCAAAGCTTCTCATGCTCGGGGTCTGGTCAAAACACAAACACCCTCGCTCGGGGTTGAAGGGGATGGTCATCAAGCCTTTTGCGAGGATTCCGGATATTTGTATTTGCTTCTAGTATTCCAAATACAAGGGAAGTTGTGGTTTCCACCTTTCGTGGCAGGAAAGCTCACACAAACCCCGCAACCCTCACTGGACGGACACTTCCCCATAGTAAGGGTTCAAAGTGAATTCAAGAGCAGGCTGAAACAGAGTGGGATCAACCCAAATTCAATCCCCGACTTTAACAAAACTTTCGCGCTCAGAGGTGGGTGGACCTCTTCGGGCGGCCCCTGCTGCCTCTGGCGGCCTATGTGGGGCTCCTGCTGTCGCCTCTCCGCCTGGGCTGGTCCTTCTCCGAACGCAACGAGGCGATGGTGTGGTTTGGATGGGGCACCAGCCATGGGGGTGGCTTTTGTGGTTCGCGATGCCAGGCCTCCCGCCTCCCGCCCCCGTCATTTGGCTGTGGGCTTGGTCAAAGCCCAAACAAAAACCTGGTGAACATCAAAATAGGTGGTACATGGGTGTTCATCCGCCCTGATCCATGTTTGAGAGGAAGCCGAAAAGCCAACCGCCAAAAGGCTTTAAGGGCTCCCTATTTTGGTATGGAACATAATTGCACCACCAGGATATGAACCGCAGGTTTTGGTCCATGTTTCTAGTTGCCAGGCTTCCATTTTGGGTACCTATGTTTGATCCGCAGGCATTTGAGGTTTATTCTCCTTCCCACAGAATGGGAATTGTGCCATCAATAACTTCATGCTGGCGGTCCGGAAGCGCAGGTGCCTTTTGGAAAGACCCGCAAAGATTTGGTCCCAGGTCGGAAGGTTTGGCTCGAGCTTGTTGCGCATACCTGACCATGGGGTTCAGGGTTCATGACTCAGGGAGCTGCTTGCAAGATCTATGACTACATAGTTCTTCAGGACTGGGTGTAGTTCTTCAGTTCATAGCGCAAGAACTGCAGATGGCACTCGATGCAACTGGCTTGTGCCGGAGGTAAGAAGCGTTGCACCTGGCGAGGTACGATCGGTGATCTCCATCTATTTTTTTGACACTCGTCTGCACAGATGCATTGACACGCGTTTGGTGGTGTGATTGGTCAAAGGGATCATAAGGCATGCTGCCCCTTGCCACTTTCCCCGCACTGCCCCTTGACTTAGTGCAATTTTCCCGCACTGACCCTTGACTTAGTGCCACTTTCCCCGCACTGACCCTTGACTTAGTGCCACTATCCCGCACTGACCCTTGACTTAGTGCCACTTTCCCACTTTCCCCGACTGACCCTTGACTTAGTGCCACTTTTCTCCGCACTGACCCTTGACTTAGTGCCACTTTCCCCGCAGTGACCCTTGACTTAGTGCCACATTCCCCGCACTGACCCTTGACTTAGTGCCACTTTCCCCGCACTGCCCCTTGACTTAGTGCAATTTTCCCGCACTGACCCTTGACTTAGTGCCACTTTCCCCGCACTGACCCTTGACTTAGTGCCACTTTCCCACTTTCCCCGCACTCACCCTTGACTTAGTGCCACTTTCCCCGCACTGACCCTTGACTTAGTGCCACTTTCCCCGCACTGACCCTTGACTTAGTGCCACTTTCCCCGCACTGACCCTTGACTTAGTGCCACTTTCCCCGCAGTGACCCTTGACTTAGTGCCACTTTCCCTTAGATGATAATTACAATTTTCACCCAGCCACACACCCTCAAGCACACGCACACACACACACACACACACACATGTACTCGCAAAGTCACACTCTCCAATTTGCGTTGGCAGCTGCGCTCTTACATCGAATCGGCGCGTTGATGTATTGAACCTCTCCATCGGAGATCTTGAGTGCTGGTGTGCTGCCCATGTGGTGCCTGAAGCGTGGAGGCGGGATTTTTGGAGTTGTGGCCTCTGAACACGGAGTCCAAGAGTGCAGCCCCCAACTGCTGTTTGGAGAGCACCCCATCCGTTCTATTTTCCGTTCGCACGGTGGCGTTTGAAGAGTGTGTGGGGAACCTTCCTGCGTGTGAGGCATCTGAGTCTGATTGGCTTCGCTTCGAGACTCCCTCAAAACAACATGCCATCTGCCATCTGCAATGGCGACGAGTTTCCTGAGCCGTGGAAAACAAACAAGGGAAATGCCATTTGCCATCCGCAATGCGACGAGTTTCCTGACGTTTTGGGCCTCCTGCGTGGCATAAGCGTCTTGCGGATTTCGACGCCAAACGAAAGGTACCGTGGGTCGCTGCCTCATGCTGGCCTATGTGTCCTGGTACATGCTGATGGACACCGCCCACCTGAGAGGCACGGCGCGTGCATGGCAAGCCTCCCTTTCCACTCGGGTGTGTCGGCGTGTCTTTGTCTACCCCCCAAAATGGGTGTTTTTCTTTTCCCGCCGGGTTTCCTCTTTAAATAAGCAAGACAGGGTCTCAAAAGCAGACAGACCCAGCGGCCCATTTTTTGGGCTCCGGGAATTGATCAGTGAGCGCCGACTTCCCAGGGGGACGATTTGTGGCGGCCTTCCGGAGGCGAAACTTCTGGAAGCACTTTGCAGCGGCTCGGGGAGACGTTACTTTGGGACTTGAGGATGTCTCTGAGTGGGTTTGCTTTCATAGCAAGGCGGGGCGGCATTGGGACTCTGGGACTTGCCCAGGATGCAGTGGGCCGCCATAGCAAGGCGAGCAAGCATCCATTTCCAGGCTTTTGTTCTATGTGTTTTTCGGGGACATCGCTGATGTGGAAATGAACATTCGGCAACCAAAGGGGGGTGGTTTCTCGTGCCGTGTTCCCAGGCCATGCAAAGAAGTGCGTTGCTGCCGCCATGGATCTCCTTGCTGGTGCGATAGGTAGGGAATGTGGGAATGAACCCAGGGGTCCCCTTTTTTGGGGTTTCCACGTGAACCTGACGTCAGGTTCCATGTAAAGGTGATTCTCAGTAGACCCGGGGAGATTCCCTTCAGGAAACCGGGGTGAACCTCTCGGACTCGTCTTCTCAGGGCCCCAAGTCTCTCGAAGTTCCGAGGCCTACTTCCCCATGTCCCTGACGCGTACCGCGAAGCTGGACGCCTCCAGGAATTACATCTTCGGCTACCATCCCCACGGGGCGGGGCTCTGGGGCTCTCACCGGAGCATCCGGTCGATTGGTCCCTGCACCCAAAGGGAAGGGGCAAATTTTGGGCCTTCATACAATACGACCATGGCCATGAGGACTCTGAACCACAACATGTGCGTGCGTGTGTGTGTGTGTGTGTGTCCCTTTCTTAAGTGCCCCGGTTTGAGGGGACAAAAGGGAATTCGAATTTCGAAGGGACGTTGTGCCACACCCATATGCCACTCGAATTCTTTTTTCCTATATGAGTCACAATCAAAAACCCGGGTAATTGGAGGGTAGCAAGGAACAGTCCCGGCCGTAGATGGGTGCAGAGAACCGACTGTTTAATTGTGTACATAGTGCGCAGACTATTATAATAGCGGGTTTCGAATATGACCATGGATAACATCCCCTTTTCGTGGGAAGTATCACATGTTGTTTCTAGTGGCTTTCCAACCAGTTCCCATGTTCATCGGACCTTTCGACCAACCCCCATCTCCAAAAACTGCTTCAATCTCTCCCATCCTTTCCTTTCCTTTTGGGCACCGTTCCCCCCCTTAGCGGCTTCCGCCCCGTGAAAACGGCGGAATACGGGCCCTGAGGTCATCAGCATGGGCGCGGTGTGCAACTTCGCCACGGAGGCTACCGGGTTCTCGGAGCTCTTCCCGGGCATCGACTTGCGGCTGCTGACCTTGGGCACCAACTTCAGGCGCGCGAATGGGCGAGCGAAGCGCGAATGGGCGAGCGAATTGGCGGGAGTGGAGACGGGAGTGGGATGCTTTTTCCCCAAGCACGTGGCTATGAGTGTGTTGAGGGGGAAAACCTAAAAAAGTGACTGGTGGATATGAAGCCCCACCTGAATGAACATGGACATGAGGAACCGCGCGAGCGAATTGGCGCGCCGCGAGGGCGAGGGCGGGCGCCGTTTGGCGTTGGATGCGGCGCGGGACATCGAGAAGCCAGGAAAAAACACATCA